CAGGCAAAGCTATAATGTGGGTTTTTCTTAGTTATTCACAAAAGAAGAGCTAGACAGAAGAGATGTATTGTTTTTCATGTTTTGCCAATGAAATTTGGATTAGCACTTGCTCATTTGGACCCGGCTGTCTATGCTGACTGTGCAGGTAATTGCCTAACCAAGTACAACCAAACACTTTGAAATCCCACCCTCCCTGGCATGCAGTGTTCAATGCTTTCATCACCTTTTAAGAAAGCCAATCTTAAAATATGCTGTAATCAGTTTAAAGTAAGTGGCAACATGGTAAGTCATTATTACCTATTAACACTGTTGGGGGGCAGAACACGATGCCCCAAAGTATTGAACACAGGCATGCTGAGCACTTTGGACTAAAGGAGATTGGAAGGCCTCAGAACCAAGGTCTTTCTGACCTTCTCTTCCTCTTCTAAGTCCCCTGAATTGATTCGTGGAAACTAGAGCTCCCCTCCTCCAAAGCAAACCATAAAACCAGGAAAGGTCACTCTCCCTCTTCTCTCTTCTCTCTTGAAGACTCTAATTCTGAGAGGTCCTGCCCCATACCCAGGGGGAAAAGAATGCCACACAGAGAGGCCAACGATCCGAACAGACAGGACTTGCTGGTTTTTCCCCTCAGTCTGTTCCCATTAGATCATATGCTTTTGGTCTAATCAAATTTTTACATGCCTGTTCTTTCTTCATCAAATCTAAGCATAAAAAATAGACAGTTTTCCCTGAGTCTTTGGATCTTCATTTCTGAAGACTGTCGTGTCATGTAAAACATTGATCAAATAAAATTGTTGGGCTTTTCTCGTACGAACCTGTCTTTTGTCATAGGAGTGTCAGCTGTGACCCTCATGATGGGCGAGGAAAAGCATTGCCCCCACAACACCTCTGCTTCTCAGGTGAGCCAGGATGTCACCTGGCAGAGCCCAAAGAGAATGGGACAAAGGGCTAACATTATTTGATGAGGAAGCCAGGAAAGACAGGTGAGGAGGGGAGAAAAGCATGAGAGGCCAGACACCCAAACAAAGGAGGAGTTATGAGTATGAACTGAACCCACTTTACATGTGTGCAAAGTTATAATCTTAGCTCTTCGCGAAGTTTTCTTTTCTTTTCTTTTCTTTTTAAGGCTTTATGCCAGGGCCAAATCTGGCCCAGCATATGTTTTTGTAAATGAAGGTTTATTGGAACACACCAGGCCCCTTCATTTACCTAACATCTGCGACTACTTTCTTGTTATTTCAGCAGAGTGAAGTTTGTGAGCAAGACCATGTGGCCTCAAAGCCTGAGCTCTATGCTGTTTGGCTCTTTACAGAAAACAAGTTTGCTGGCCCCAGAAATGGCTGTGGCTACATTTTGCTGAGATTGGCCTTGAGAATGCAGACGCTGCTGAATGTACCCCACACTGCATGTGGTGTTCAGCTTTGTGGCTCTCTTTGATGTGTGTGAAAGCATAGAAGCCAGGCCTCCACCGCGGGTCTAATGAAGCAGAGGGAATGTCCCATGGGCAGCGATTTCTCGTTGCCTAGGGTCACCTCCAAATACGGGAATCAGAGACAAGTCGGTGACTAATGGAAAGAGAGAGAAAAGAGATGAGGCCAGATGAAACTTTACTCCTCCTAAGAGTTCTCTAGAGTCTTTCTACATTTTAACTTCTGGAGGACAGAATTCTGCCTGCTAGTATTTAGCGAATTGAATTTTGTCCTTAGAGAGGTGTGCACTGCTCCCATTGACTTCTATGGGAGTAATGGGCCATTTGGTCCCACGACATCTGTGCTGGCTTCAGGCTATTTAACAAACTCCTAAACAAATCCCAATAAAGTGCTCTTTAATGGGTACTTAATTCTGATGTGGGGGTGGGTGCCGAGCATACCTAAGTCCTTTCTTTTCCTTCAGGTTTACTAAGTTTCTTTCTTTTATGGTGTGATAATTATCGCAGCCAAGAGCCCTGAGTCAAGCAGTATTAAACCCATTCGAAGTCACAGGACGTCTCCTCTTATTGATCTCAGTTGACCTGTTTACTCTCTAGGTTCCAATTTAATGGCTCAATTGATTATTCATTTACATTTTTAATGTCTTTGTGGGCAAAATCATTCTAAGATGAATCATCTCTAACTTAATGGGCAACACACACAATCATTCTGGATTTCCACTTTCAGCAAGTACTCACTGAGCTCGGGAGAATTTAACAGGGATGAAAAGGACATTCGAGCTTCTGGTCAAAGATGATAGGAATGACAGTTTGATTTGTCTGCTTCGTAAATGGCCATCACAGAGGTGTGGCTCCCCTGATGTCAGAGGGCGGTTAGGATATCAACTTTTCTGTTACCTACTTACTAATTACATTTTGTCTAAATACAATTTGAAATCTATAAGGCCCACATCTTTAGTTGAACCATTTCTTAAATTAAATCCAGAAGTTTCAATATTGTTCATTGATTTGTTTTTCTTTTAGATGGTCCTGCTTTGCTGGTGATGGTAGAAACAGTGAGAGATTATACTTTGGAGGAGCACAACATCATGAGAAATAGTGTGATTTTATTAGCTCACAAAAATTTCTATTTAACGAAGATAGGCAACATGCAAGATCTAACTACATTTATATTTACAATACAATATTCTACCTCAAGGCTCTTTAAATGTGCTTGTGGAGTTGGTTTGATAATGTTTTGTTCCTTCACAGCAAGCAGGCGAAGCTCTAAAAATACAACTGCCTATGGCTTATCCTTCCCAGTAAGACTGTTCTGAACATATTTATAAATTATATGCCCAATCACCTGCCACCTTCACTTCTTTCTAAAATGAGATGAGGCATCAGAAAATATGTAAATGCATATTTCCAACCACACTAGTCACTTTTATCTGACAGTATAAAATGGAACCAGAGAAGGTGCTGTATTAATCCTCCGGGGAATAGAAAGTGCTGTTGCTTGGTGAAGGGGTAGTGAAAAATGAAATAGTATCACAAAGTTTGAAAGTGCCTCTCTTTGCTAATTTTTACTGGTCATTTTATTAGTCTTATTACCAAATGTGTAATCAAAGAAAGGAGCTAATTTCAATTCTTGGAGAAAAAATTTCAGACTGTCAATAGTGCTATTCCTTCCACATGGAATTACTAAGTGCTTTCTGCCTCTGATAGCAGATTATAAACATAAACGAGACAATATTCCAATTCTTAGAAGTTCCCAGTGTCACAGACACGTGAACAGAGACCAGAAATAGAACGTGTGATGGATTGCTTCTGTTTCCAGAGTGCTAGCGAATCCTCCGCTGGTTTCAGGGAGCTTTAGGAGGAGGCCAAGCTCGAGTGTGGTCGTGAAGAATGGGGGTGTTCACCACCGTCAGGATTGTGCGGAGGATCATCCAAAGTGAGGGGCCAGCCTCAGAAAAGAGGAGTCAGGAAGAATTTGGGGGTATTTAAGAAACGATGGACTCTTCCTCATAGCTCATGTGAGAGCACAGGCAGTGGAGGGCAGCTAGTGCCTCGGTTAATAAAGATGAAAATGGATGGAGGGTGAAGAACTTTGAGTTAGAAGGATTTGAACTTTATTTTGTGAGCAATGGAGAGTCACTGGCTGACTTTAAATTAAACAAAAAGGGGCCTGAACTCTAACAAATCCTGAAATGTAAGTAGAAGGCAGAGGGGGAGGTGCCAGTTAAAGGAACTTCAAATGGGGGAGGCCCAGACAAAGTGCCAGGCACGGAGCAGCCACATCTCTACCCTGCACCCTAAACCAGGCAGGTGGAGCGAGGCAAGCTTTGCTAAGCACTTCGTCTCCAGGGGTTCATAGTCCCCTTCCCACGAAATGGTCCACTTTACTGGTAGAACCTCTGCCTAATTTCCTCTTTGTTAACCTAGTTTAGGAATTTTCTAGACATTTGCTTAGCTACTTATCAAGTTAGAATTGTATTCCATGGTCATTTTCAGTTGTGGTCACACTCTTAATAGAGTTGGACAAAATGAAGTTACATCTTTAATATTCTGATTGGTTACAACATATATCAACAAGGTAATATTTCTTTTAACAAATCCCCCTTAAGTCGGATGATAAAAGAATCATTAAAAAGGATCAACAAACCCAAAGAAATGTGAATTAGACACACATGGCATTCCTAAACTACTTTAGAATACTCAATTTTATGTAAGAGAGCATTTTCACACACCACACCTGATGAGTTTAATGCCTACTGAACACTTGGCTTCCCTTTGTTCAGAGCAGACATGACCAGGTGAGGTCTTGCGTGAGTCCCATACCTGTGCTGTCTTCATACACCACAGTCACTGTCTTCCAGTTGTAATAGAGGACCAGGTCCAGGATCGCCCTGCTGATAGCTGTGTAATCTGGGTAAAGGTTGATGTAAAATAAGTCTTTGTTGTCCACCGAGGGGTGTTTCCAGCGGGTCTGTATGTGCGGAACTTCGAGTGCGTTGCAGATGGACTGCACGGCACTGACGGAGGAGCTGTGGGAAGGGCCAAAGAGAGCAGCCACACCTAGAGCCAGCTGGTCACATGCTGATGTCCAGAGCAAGGAGGGGATGGAGAGAGAGGGCAGGGCAAGGGGGAGAGAAAGAGAGAGTCCTATGAATTTAATTTTTTCTTTCTTGATTCATCTTTTTGATTTAACCATTGAAAAATCCCTTACACTCCCCATCTGTACATGGAGGAAAGATGCTTGGTCCCTCTTCCAATATTCTTGAGAGACTAAGATACTGATGGATGGAAATGTAGAACTGATTAGCAATACATCACAGGGCCAATTCGTGCAAATAAAAATGAGTTGCTGGTCTCACTTCATTACCTTTAATCAGATGGAGTCTAAATGCCTTGCTTGGTGTGGTACTACCTGGGAGCACACCTAGCTAACCAACAAGCCATTTGCCAAATAAATGTCATATTATTTAAGTTCTGTCACATGTCAGGGTGGCAATGAAGATATTCATGTGGTTACAGAATTCAGAAGAAAGATTCTCTGGGTGACTACAAAGTACTTTAGCTCTTGTCTTTGCAAAACTCAGAGAGGAGCTCCAGGTTATTGAAATACTGCAAAAGAATGTTCGCAAGCAGTGCCGATACAAAATTAATTATGGAAACATGGGCTGGCATAGCTTAAAGGGATCTTAGAAGACATTTGGTCCAACCTGCTCATTTCATAGACAGTAAAGCAAATCATAGCCACTTTGCAGTGGCAGAGATCAGTCAGAGCTCAGGGGCCCCTGCTCAAGGTCAAGCCTCTTTCTACCTCGGTACTAGCCAACTGGTAGCCCAATGAAAGCGAGTTGATACATATTTAAACATTTATTTATAAATTTATTTTTCTCATTTTAAGAGTATATATACTCATCGAGAGAATTTAGAATACTCAAAATATAAGGAAGAAGAAAAGATCCTGTCATTAGTCCCATTGTCTTGGGATAATATCTATTAATATTTTAGAAAATTAGAATCAGTATATAAAAACATTTTGATACATTGTTTTCTTCATTTAACATTATAGCATGCTTTTTCCCCAAGTCATTACAAATTCTTCAAAAGTATATTTTTAGTGTGTGTAGAATAGACCATTCCATGCGTTTCTCATCATTTGTTTAACCATTCCTATAATATTAAACATGTAAACTGCTCCTAATTTGGGGCTATTATAAGTAATCTTATATTACTTATCTTAGTTCTTATATTTTTCTCTGCATCTTAGGTTAATTTCTTAGAGTAGATTTCCAGAGGTTGAGTTAGCATCTATAATTAAC